TCCAAGTAAGATGTTGGCTGGTGGCAGTATGTTATCTGTGTAGTCTGCTCTGTTTATGAAATAATCTTATATCTGCCATTTAACCAGAGGATATAAACTGTAGTCACACTCAGATTTCATACTTGTAACAAGCATTTTCTGCCTATGTGTTTGCTGAAGTCTTACATTTCAGTAAATTGTCTGGCTCAGAGGCCTTTGATGAATATTTTCTACGTATTTTCAGGTAATAATGGTGTTCGTTTCACTAGATTTTTTGTGTACAGTGCACTCTTGATTTTTAGGCTTGTAAAGAAAGAATTGTACATGATCTTAAAGATCATTTGCAGAATGAAACGTTTCCAGGTTCTCTGTTACTTCAGTAGTGTGAGTAATAATCATTCTATTTTAATAAAAACAGTGATGTTCATTGCTAGATCTGAGCTTAGCTCTTCCCCCTTTTTCTTGAGAGTAAAAACAATCGTGCAAGTGATCTTCCTGCTTGATATTCTGATACTGAAAAAATGGTATTGCCAAGGTAATTGGATAATATTATTTTCTTAAAAGCATGTAACATCTTTATCTCAGGTATGTCAATCTCAATGCCTTTAATCCTCCAAGGCAGTAGATAGCGTGCATATGCACTTGCATGCAGTGTAGTACGTGACGTAGCGAGACATTATATTGGCCATTCAAACAAAGTTAGAGTCTATGGGAAAATTTGTGCAGACTTCTTGACTGAAAAAAATAAAAGAACTGGAGGCTCACATAGACACTTTTCCTATCATTTTTCCAGATCAACAGGAGGAAACACACTGCAGGATGTTTAGTATCATATGTATAGAAACAGAATGCAGAAAATAATGTGATCAGTTTTATTTTCACGATTTGTAGTTTTGAGAGGGCTTTGTGTTTTACTTTTTTCCCATTATATGAAACATTTTACTGTGACAGTAAATTGCATTGTCTGCCATGAGCTGTTACAGCCGTTCATTTTAGGCACCAAAGCAAGCACTCTGAAAAATCAGGTCACTTCTTTTAGTAGGTATTGCTTGAGGTATTTGACTACAGGCACTGAAGTATTAAAATGTTGACATTTTTTTATCTGCCTGTATTTTCTATACAGCAAAATAGGTACGATGAAAGGAAATGCTGAGCTTTAAGGGCTGTTCTTCCTACTCAGTTAATACACAGAGAGTGCTCTGAGGTCCTTTCATGAAAAGTATTACAACTGTTAATAGCCAAAGCAAAAATCCACCACTTCTAAAGCATTTCTTTACCCTGCAAGTGCTGTCTACTAGTTACACACTGTCTTACAGTTTTCTCCTACTCCAACTTCTGAAATCAGGGTTTCTGACTCCTGTGAAACTGAAATAAGATAAAGGGGTACTGGACCCAAATTTCTTTACCTAATACCATCTTAAACACTGAAACCTTACTGAAAAGAATAAAAGAAAACCACTCAGGATTAAATACCTGTAAGAAAACTGGGCAAACTATATAGCTAAAGGAATTTTTAATCAAATACCCATTACATTCTTCTACTGTAGCTTTGTCTCGGTAGGCAAGACAGTTTGTACAAACACTCTAACTTCCTCAACATGTTAACTGAAATTACAAGCATATCTGGGTTGGTATTTTAGCCTGTTCTCTAAATCTGGATGTTTTTCTTAACCACAGCCATCCTTTTCTCTTTGGCACCTATAGATTTTACCCGTAAATCCATAATAGCGTATGGAATTTGGGTTGCGTTTGTATTATTTCCTTTGGTTTCATGCATTCAAGTAACTTCCAGTACACAAACCAGTCAGTGGGTTGGTGGCACTCCCTGAGACTGCTCTGCCCCTGGTGTCTGTATGAACAGCTCAGCTTTCTTTTTCTGCAACTAGAGTGTTTAAAATGTGGAAGAGCTACTAAAAAGGTAGTGTGGTATTTTTCAGTGTTTGCTCACTTCATTGAGTGAGCAGAGCTCAAACTGGAAACTGCCTCCCCGTCCCCTCATGCAAATTGTGGGGCTAGCATCATGCATTCAAAGCTCAGCAGGGTACACAGTGTTTATTTGTGTAAATAGGAAGTTTTGTGGTAAAATCATTGCAACCAGCTTTCAAAACTTGTCCTATCATATCTGAATCATTTTGAGAAGCGTTGGATAAAAAGTGTACTTATGTATGAGGTTATTGATAAGAGAACTCAAGAATTTCAGAGTTATGGTGCCCAAAGCAACTATACCCCATCATTTGTATTGCACCTATAAACTACTGCATTAAATTTAACACTATGTCTATTATTTAATAAAACTACAAGTGTTCAGCTTGCCTGAATTATATGTGCTGTATGAGTATTGTAACTTTAACTCTCCTGAATTTTCTCAGCTAAAGACACCAACATTAACATTATACTAACATATTTTATTTAGTGCATTAAAGATTAATTCACTTATTTATGTTAATGAGAAAAAGCACAGATCTTTAACTAAATAATAATGAATAAAATATTAAACAGATTAAAGTGCATGCCCTCTGAGAATTCACAAGATTCTCTACATATTCTGACATAGGTATCTAATATCTGCCTGGATACTGATTGGAAATACACTATTACAGGCTTTAAACTTCTGACTGAAGTCCGAGCATGTCATCAACATGTCAGCAGAACTTGATTTAACAAAACCTGTGTTAACTCCTTTTTCTAGATGAGTGATCTCATAAGTCAAAGTTTTACAGTTGATAAGCAGGAGCTCTAGGTTCCCAAATGTACGTGAGAGGTGTTATGAATAGAGTTTGTATTTTCACTGTTTGATGATGCCACAGGCCTAGAACCGATGCCAGAATCAGACCTGGAAAAAAAGATTATTCTCTGTCTGTCATAAGTGGCTGGAGGAGGAGTGTAAAATGCTTCGTACTCTTCTATGTCAAGAACTAGAATCAAAACTACTACCAAGTATTGTGTGAATTTGTACTTCAACCATGTATACATACCAGGAAAGCACATTGCCAGCTTTCCAGATCTGGAGTATTGCCATAAACTTAAAAGCCACAGAATTTAAATATTTAGTGCTTTTTTTGCCTTTTTTTTTTTTTCCTTTGGATGTGGAAACATGTCAGAGCCACATATGCAACCCTGTTCCTTCAGTGGGTTCTGTTAGTACTTAGTACTCTCAGTCTGCAATATTGCAGTTCTTAGTTAGAGTCTTATCCCCTCTGGAAGGATATTTTAAGTGGATATTATAAAGCTCCAAGTGAGTTTATCAAGGCCAGACTTGACTAAAAGAGAAAAGAAAGAGCTTAGGTTGAGGACAAGAGGACACAAGAGGAGAGAAGGACTTGTTTGAGCCTGGAAGTTCAAGGAAAGACCTAAATCATGATGTCAGTAGCAGGAACAGAATAGTCAGTGAAGGAAGAAAATCAGCAAGGTGTTGGGTTTGAAATAAAAAAAAAGCAAAGGCATGGTTTATTAATAGTTTGGTTAATTAATTCTAATTAGTAATAAGCCCATGAATGCTAAGGAACATTAAATATCTTTGCTCCTTCGTACAGCACAGTGTTTTCTGGATTGCAGTTTATAACAGCGTAGGTTGATAAAATGCCGTAAAAATTTGACCTACAACGCCTGTAACATTTGAAAAGAGTTACAGCTTTTGGATTTAGGCTTATATTTGTAATGGGAATCAACATCTAAGCTGTTAGCAAATGGACCAGTGTTTCAGTCTTCATTGTCTAAACAAGCTGGCATGTAAATGCTATGGCTGAAGTTTGGGAAGCAGTGGATAGATAAGAAGCCCATTGGAAGTTAAATGTTGTTGAACTTTCCATAGAAAAGAGACACTCGGTGATTATCCTAGAGGATACTAGTATTCATAAACTGTACAACAAATTTTAGGAACCCAGATTTGTGACTCCTTGTTTAATATGGCTTGTAAGGGTTTGTGACCATTGTAGCTGTAGCTTGCTTTATAGAGTTGATTCACTAAGAATAATCAGAAAAGTAGCAAACTAAAAATTCACAACTACTTTTATGTAAATTTAACAAAAAATGTGTTTAACTAAAAAGCCATTTTGCAGTTTCACCTTTACTATGAAAACAGGGCTTCTGCAAAATAACTTCAGGACAACTCCTTCAAGGACCCTACGCCACTGCATGTTGTTTCTGCTGGTGCAGGAAATAGCAGGATGTTGATTTTCAGTGGTCAGAAGCCCCAAGAGCAGAGGGGAAGAGGATGGGCACCATGCTATTGGACTGCTCTCTCATATCTCCCAAAATCTTGTGAATGCACATTCCCAGTGTTGCAGATTTCTAGTGCAAAAATGGGCAGCGCTTACTTCAGATCAAGAGAAATAATGCACAACAATAAGAAAAAAAGAAGGGAATAAAGAGTTCTGTGAGTCAGACACTCAGACTAACATAATTCAAAACAACTATCCCTGCAAGCTGGTGGGTGTTCAGTGGCACTAATTATGCTACAGAAGCAATAGTAGTATAATTTCACACTTGCAAACCTACCTTTGTGATGATTAGTACATAGTACTAATTTAAAATGTATCTTGAACCAAAATCATCCTGGTGAGTGTAGCCATGTATACTCAGTCTGAAAATACTGTGATTTAAGGATTCATATTTCATTTTTTCAGCTTCCTCAGTGGTCTTCAATATGTTGAGCTGAACCAAGAATACCCTGGTCTTATTTGTAAGTGCCTTGAATAAAAACTATCCACCACCAAAAAAAACCCCAAATTTATTCAGCCCAGTATTAGACCTAACTGAGCCTCCTATGTCAGCATGTTTGCTAGAAACTTCCCAGATAACTAGTGGAAAATAGCAACCAACCCCAGAGGTGCTTGTGACTATGCAGGGGGAGAAGTGAGCCTCCACTGCAGACTGTAACCCACAGTCAAATGGGATTGAGGATCGGCCTTTGGCCAAGAGGGTCTTTGTTACAGCTCTGTTGCAGCTTAGCACAGTCAAATCTTACTGTGCAATTAAATCAGGAAAAAGTGTGCTTAAGGGAATTGTGTTTACCACTTCAGGTTCCTCAAGATGAATGGACTGGATACACTCCACGAGGGAAAGATGATGAGATTCCCTGCCGACGAATGCGTAGTGGCAGTTACATCAAAGCCATGGGGGATGATGACAGTGGAGACTCAGACACAAGTCCGAAGCCATCTCCAAAGATTGCTGCACGGAGAGAGAGCTATCTCAAGGCCACCCAACCATCCCTTACAGAGCTCACCACCCTCAAGTAAGTCCATGTCATAGCACAACATATAGATCTCTCCAGTAAGACATACGTTTTCTGTTCCTATTTGTTTCTACTCTTTCTTTCTAGGTATCAGTTAAGAAAAAGATTCAAACAAGTGTGTTTGGTCATGCTTATTTTTGGGTTTGGTTTGTTTTTCTGAACAAGGGTAGATTTGAGCATGTATTTCAATGCCATTCTGAAAAGGGACCCTACTACCTGAGCTTTGAATTTGCAAAGTATTTCAACTTAGTGTTAAGCAAGCATTGACATATGCACAATAGGTCTGTTCTTTAAATATTTTGCTGAATTATAGCTTTGGCCTGTGGAAGCTTTACGTAATTGTGTATTTATATATACTCAACATGTGAAATTAGCCCTAAGCTAGTCTTCGCAACTCATCAGGGAGCATCTGACATTCAATTAAAAAGAACAATGACTGTCTGAAAAAAGATAAATCCATGGTTTCTAGTCTTTACTTCACTCAGAATTGTATGATTTTATTGTGGAGAAATATAACCAAAACTGGATATTTTTAAACTGTTTATGAAAGCTTTAGTCAGCAGAGATGATGAATTTATGGGGTTTTAATGTAATTTTTGTGGGGTTTTTTTATTTGAACCTTTCAAAACAGCCCAAATTCTCTTGAAAATGGGCAGTTGTGGTATTAGTATTTTATTTTAAATGATTCTAAAATGGAGAGGTCCCCTAAAGCAAGAAAATAAATTATATCCATAAAAGAAAATAGTGTGGATTTAAATTAATAATTGTTTCTCTCTGTCTTCTGCAAAATTTGTAGCTGTAATAGTGAATCATAGTTCACTGAACCAAAAATAACCTAATTTTAGTATAACTTGCCTAAGGCTGTAGCTTTAAAATGGATAAAAAAGAGCTATATCTTTTCTCGTATCCATGATTAGTGACAAAAGACTCCTGAATTTTCCTCATTAATTCCCTCTCTTTCCTCGTCCTCCTCTACCCCATCTTTTTTCCCAAAGACCTTATCTGAGAAATAGATTTTAGCGAAAAGCTTTTGATCCTTGTTACGAATGTCATGCTCTTGACATCAGTGATGAATAGACCAGAAGACAAAAACATGCTTATTGCAGCTCCCCATAGCAGCCTGCCTGACTTGGTCTCAGGGGAGGCCAGGAATTGCTTCTGCTCTGTCTTTCCATTAGTGTCCAAAGAAGAAAGCCGTCTCATTTGCTGCAGGTATTTTCATAAGCTGGTCCTTGCTCAAGGGATCCAGTGATTTCTCTCATCATCCAGCAGACTTCACCACATCCTTTCCTGAGCCGAAACTCCTCCTCTGAGATTACATATTGCAACTTCTGCGGGGTGAACGTAAATGTTATGTACCACCAAACACTCCATAAAGCCACAGTATCAGGCATGGAGCTTACTCTTTTTAAGACTTTAGAAGCATATGTTCCATAGTTCCATAATATATATGTGAAATACAGTGCATCACAGTGAGTGTATTTGGTCTTGGTCATTCCTGTTCTCTGTATATGAAAGATTTGCCAAAGAAGATGGAATTACTAAAAATAAAAAGTCCTGCATGTCACTGTTCACCCACAAGGGATGTTAGATCAGAGGGGTTAGGCAGCAGAAGCTTTGGGGTTTAGCTTTGAAGTCACTGTAATTCAGCAAAGTGTTTGTACGAATATTTCATTTCACATATGTTTTCTAATCCCTTGCTGCTTGGGAAAGCTTTTAGGAATGTTCTTAATTTTAAGCTACACTCTGTAAAATTCATGTAAGTTTAGGAACTATGCAGAAGTAGGATGTAAATCACAGGGTCTAAGAAGGAAGGAGAAAATGGTAAATGGTAGTAAAACAAAAAAGAGGACAAAATATGAAATAACTTTTCTTTTTCAATGACTTTTCAGCATAAATTGGGATGAAGCAGAATTATTTCTTTTCATCTATGATGATACTTTATGGAAATATTGCTTCCTGGGAAACCTTTCCACTTTCAGAGACAAATTGTATAATACATAATTATGCAATGCTTTTATTCCTTTCTGCTGAACATGATAATTTGGGGATTTTTTGGTGAGAACTAGCCAAGTGCTTGCTCTGGGAATTGAAGGCTTCTGTTAAGCTCGGTCTTTTTTGCAGCCTTCTTCATACCTTCTTAGTAGAATGACTTGACCTTGACCATGACATTGCTTGTTCATTCCAGGGCTACCCTGATTATTCTGAGAGCTGTGATAGAGTTTTGCTGGCATATCAGCCAGAGAGTAAATTAGGGCCCCCAATTCACTGCATATAGGTCACCAAGCAATTGTGTAATGTGTGATGACAAGTTATTTCCTTGGCTTACTGTTGACTTGAGTTCAATTTGCACCTGAATAACAGCTTTATAGAAATGAGCCAAAAGCCACTCCAGTCAGCAGGCAGCCTTTTACTGACCCTAGTGGACTTTCTAAGCTGACCTTGCAGGACATTATCAACACCTTAAAGATGAGTGGTATTTCACTTCTTTAATTACGGGTTTTTTCTGTCTGTGAAGAACAAGGCACCTCGTGAAAGTGGTTTTTCTGCGGTGGTAATTGTCAGGGATCTTCTGCACTGCTTCCTGCAACTCTCTTTCTCTGCTTTCTGTATGCAGTCTAGTTGGCTTTGCTTTCAACTTTGGCAGAGCAAACAACTTAGAAACATGTTCTCTTTTGCTTTCACTGTTGTTTTTGAACGTATTTTTCATCTTGTGGTACTTTTCCTCTCTGAGCACTTTAAGGCTAATATTGGTCTTAAAACCCACGCTGTTCCTCCCACCTACCTACCTACCATTGCTCATGTGCCTACTCTTCTAAGAAAGGGTTTTTATTGTTACCAATGTTTCTTTTTATATAGGAATAACTTTCAAACAGCACAACTGTGTCATATCTCCTTTACGTAATACAAATTTACTTTCCTGTTTTTGCTGAGGTTTTTTCTTCCTATACATTACAATCTCCCTCCCACAATATTCCTCCCATGCCATGGTTTCCATGTGGTTACAGCACATGTGTCAAATGCTGTGGTACCATTCTGAATAAAGCACAGCTTGCTGTGATCTTGAAATGCCCACCTCCATTGCTGCACTCTCATTATCCTACCAGGAAGCAAGCAGCTTTTTCTCTCTGTCTTTTCTGGCAGTATCCTCTCGGTGTTTAATCTTTCACAATCTGGATAAACTGATCCAGCTGAAAAAACAAAGTGATATTTTCTTGCCCATTCCTGAAAAATAGCAAAAGTTTATCTTGTACGCATAAGCAAGTGGAAAATAGACTGGTTAGCTAACTTCTAAAGAAAATGCAGGCAACACGTAACTGACATTTCTATTACAGCTGAGCTTGATTCAGGACATACTCCTTCACTCTCCATACAAAACTTGGTTATGTTTGGTCTGGTTTTCTCTGGGAAAAAAGTATGCAATTAGATCCATGTGCCAACCTGTTACCTCCACCTTGCGCTACCTTTTGAATCTGTTGGCCAACTTGAACCAAATTTTTGCTAGAGAGACTGAAGTCTGAAAGATTTCAAGTTCCAGCAAACTCTATGAAGATCTATAGCTGGATAAGGCAGAGGAAGATCTGCAGCCATCCCTTATGATCTCTTAAAGGAGGTCAGGCAAAGTAGTTGGTGAAACAACACAAGTGATGGCACCACTTGCCCAGCCTAATAGGTGAGGAATATGGAAGGGACTGGAAAACTCTGTTGAAGAGGTCTAAGAGATGTACCATAGTTTTTCTAATGCCCCTTTCCTCTTCTGCACTGCACGCACACTCACTGCTTAAAATATGTGTTCAGATTCTGCTTCCTAACTCAATATTGCTGCTACTGGAGTCTCCTGCAGTTCTTTTAATTATTCTTTTTCTTAAAATATTACAGTAGTTAATGGTAATCCATTTGTGGACATTTTACATTAATTTTGGGTTATATACAATTGCAGAATTATTCCTTTGGACTCATATTTGATCATACAAACTTTTTTTCTGGGACAAGTTTAACCCTCTGATCATCAGTGTGTTGACAATTTCAATGATCATGATACTTTGGAGATGCATCTGTAGAACTCCTGTAAAAAGACAAGAAGGAACAACAATTAGTTTTTTCTTAATAAATCTTTATTTTCAAGGTATTTTAATAGACATGTCATTTTTTCCAGTCAGCTGTGACTTGGAGAAACACCACAAACTCTTTTAATGGGCACCGGGTTACACCATTGATGATGAAAAGAGTATGTGAGCATATAAGCAAAAAGCACTAGTTTTTTCTCCTTTTTATCGCATGGTAAAGAATTCATCTGTGTAACTTCCATCATAGCTACACCTATTCCTGTGATTTATTCCATAAATAAGTGATACTTAGAATAAATGAACCAAATCCTAACTTTAAAGTTTATTTGAGATATTCCAAAAATAATATCTCAAAATAAGTGCATGTTATTTGTGTGTACTCAGGCTTACATTTTTTATGTGCTAATACAAATAACATAAGTATTTTCTACTTGTATGCCTCTATGAATCTGAAGATAAAATTGCTTTGAAAACTTCTGTGCCATTTTTCTTAATATCCTATAAAATCACAGTAGACAATCAAGCTCAAGGGGCAGAATCTGATAGCAACCTTAATATCAGTGACAAAACAAGAAGAGAGAGGTAGATCTGATTTATCCATCCTAAATTCCAACTTTTCATCACCTGTCTGAGAACTGATCAGGTCAGTTCCTGGAGGACAAACCTTTAAGCTAGGGTCAACCTGTATTGCAAACCAAGTCTTGACAGAGCTGCAGGACCTGCTCTTCTAGGATGACTTGCTGAAGAAAAAAAAAAACATCCAACCACCCCATTGTTACATAGGATAAGATGTTTCAGATAGAAAATCCCCTGATCCTTGTAAAAGTCAAAGAAATTATGATCAAAATAGTTTTATAATCTGCAAAGCTCCCAAATTATTTTGTCTGGTGATAATTTGTGGTGATCTGGAGGAAGGTGGTATACATATATAGGCACA